CATTCATTTTATCTACCACAGATCTATTTTGTAACACCAATGTCAAGAGAGCCTTTGTAAGACTATTGCTGTCTCTCACCATATGCCACCCAGTAAGGGAAAAACAAGTGTAGTCTCATAAAAACAGCCTGGGTTGAGTGGAAAATCATTTTGGGAGCCACCTCCTCTTCTCCTGGTGGCTCCAAAAATCATTGACACCTGGTGACACTTTTAATGGTTCTGAAAAACAGATATTTGACTCTCTTTTTGGCTGATGGCTTCTAATATATGTTACCAAAGTTTTTGAAGAAGCTTGGGAGAGGTATTTAAGGAAGAACAGGAAAGAGCAGGATTCACTTAGGTTTGACTGGGGTGTATTTAGATCTATGAGGATCTATTCCTACACTGATATCTTGGTGGCTGGCTTTGGATTCAACCAACACAAGGGAGAGCAAGAATGAAAAGGAAATATAATAAAACATGACCGCAGGAGGCCGTAATGAGAATAGTATAAGACTAAGACTATTCTGGGGAAACAGGGAAAGGCTTCTTGTTTCCTTGTTCTCTGGCCAAGAATCAACTTTGAAATCCTCCTGAGAGTTAGTGTGACGAGTATGAGTGAAATGGGGGTGGGGCAGGCTACCTCTGTGTGAATATGTGTAAGAAACTTGGCCAGGGACTAAGGATAGACCCACATGTATACACACAGACACACACACACCACACATACCACACATATACATCACACACACCACACTACACACACCACACATACCACACATATACATCACACACACCACACACACACCACATACCACACATATACATCACACACACCACACACACACCACATACCACACATATACATCACACACACCACATACCACACATATACATCACACACACCACACACAAACCATAAACATACTACACACAGCACACTACACACACACTATAAACACATTACACACACTACACTTGCCACACATATGTCACACATACCACACAAACATGTCACACCACACACACATCATAAACATACCACACACCACACATATGTCACGTATATCACACAAACATATCACACTCACCACACACACATCATTTGCATACCATATACACCACACACACACCAACACACACACTCCAGCAGACACACACTATACACACATTATAAACACATCACACACACTACACACATACCGCACATACACCACACATACCCTGCACACACTACACACACACACCACATACACATCCACACTACACACATACCACACACACTACACACTCATACCATTCACACATATACTATGCACACATACTACACATACCACACACACATCACACCCATTATACACATCACATACACACCACACACTACACTCCCCCCCCATACACACATATGCACTGTGCACGCACTGCCCTTATCTCTGAGCCATGGAGACAGGGAGTGAGTGGGACAGTGTGTGAGTTATTCCTCCTGGGTGTTGCGAGCTAACCCTTGGTTCACCTCTTGTAGGACTTTGCACTTCCTCCTGACAGTTGGGAGGCATGGGGTCTGTTAACATTCTGCTTGTTGACCCCAAAAATCCCCAGGGAGTGTTCCAAGCTGCATGGGCTGTTTGAGAAATGTGTTAATGGTATAGCTTTCAATCTCTATGTAACATGCAGTATTATTTGATTCAGGTCCAGTTAACTTTGGTCCTTTTAAGCATTTGGATCTGGAGATCACTGGCTTTGTCATGGTTTTCAGCGTGCAAGTAGTAAAGTTAGAAAGCCTTTGAACTGCTTGTTGGATGGGTGCTGTGGGTGCCGGGCTCATGTGCAGGACTAGGAGGAAGGCAGCTTCTCTGGAGAGAGCTAGAAATGTTGACACAACAGGAAGCCATTTAGCTCTCCCTCACCCTCACTTGTCATTCTCAGTGGCTCCTTTACCCATGTAGACAATGCTTAGTTCCTAGACCAAATACATGAATGTATATACAAACACACACATTTACAGCCCTTTTAAAATCCCAAACCTAAACAAAACAATGAATGCCACCCATTCTGGAACCCCTTTACACCACCTTCGTGTTATAGGGTAATACCTCTGACAGAGTTGAAATATATGTAATATTATTCAGATATGCAGAGAAATGGAGCATCCCTATTTTCTATGATCAAACAAATCAATTTCTAAAGTCCCCTTACCTCTGGAAAGTCAGGGAAGGGTGAGAAAGAGGAGGGTGTGGGTAGCACTTAAATTTGTTAACATTGTGTCATTTCTTCTGGTTTAAGATGTCTTTGGCTAACTCAGTCTCTTTGGGGTTCCTGCCTTGCTCTCTGCTCCTCCTTAAGATGGTGTCTGAATATATGAGCAAGGCTTATGTGACTGCAGTCTTGGATGTGTGGGAAGAAGTCCTTGTGTTGCCCTCTGCCTTTTCTGAACTGTCTGGTGTGGTCTGATCCCCCTCTGCGATCTGCCATGGGACAGCTGGCTTTGGCTGTGCTTTGAGCCATAGCTTATGCTCCAGTTGTTTGCCCATGGTCCTGAAGTTCCTCTGTGGATGGAAGCTGCTTCATCCTCATCCCAGGCCTGGTCCAGTCTCACAGCTGTATCCTCGCCCCCCACTCTGAGGGCACAGGGAAATTTCTAGATCCCTGTGTGCTTCATTCACCTGCATGGAGCTCACGTGAAGAGTTGCACCAGGCCACCCTCTGCCAGCACATTGTTAGGACTTCCATGCCACCGTAGAGTTGGTGCTTAGTGGAACATGAGGCTTCCCCTAGACTAGTGGTTCCTAGCCTTTTTGGAACCAGGGACCAGTTTCATGGAAGACAATTTTTCCATGGACAGGGGGTGGGGTTGGGAGTCAGGGAATGGTTTTGGGATGAAACTGTTCTACCTCATATCATCAGGCATTAGTTAGATTCTCATAAGGAGCGAGCAACCTAGATCCCTCGCATGCGCAGTTCACAGTAGGGTTCAGCTCCTATAAGAATCTAATGCTGCTGCTGTTCTGAGGTAGGGGTGGGGGTCGGGGCAGGGAGCTCAGATGGTAATACTCACTCAACTGCTGTTCACCTCCTGCTCTGTGGCCCAGTTCCTAACAGGCCAAGGACCCATACTTTGCCCAGCGGTTGAGGAATCCTACTAGGCTACAGCCTGGCAATCTTCCCCAGGCTTGCTGTACCCGGTGAAATAGGCTACCAGCCAGATGACCTTGGTGCATGGAACCCATCCGCTTGTTTGTACCCCTCTATCAAGAACACTGACATCAGAATTCTTTCCTTTACCTTCCTTTCATTCCCTCCCCATCCCTGCCCCCATATTTACTTGTTAGAAGTGATCAGCTTTTTCCTACTTCTTGTCTGGTAGAGACTTCCTTCCTAGGAAGCACTAGAGCTTCCTTTGATATGTAATTTAAGAAGTTGCCCTCCTCTCTCAAAAATGCCTGCTTCTTAAGACTATGATCTTGCCAAAGGTTCAACAAAGAATTAAGTATAAGCCTCAGAGCTGAACATGGCCCTTAGTCTAAAATTGCTCTTAGTTCTTAGTTGTGCGTATGTGTGTGTGTGTGTGTGTGTGTGTATGTGTGTGTTTATGATCAACCCCTTGGTCATCTAGTGAAGTCTATGGACTGATTCTCAAAACAATGTTTGTAAATGCACAAATAAAATAAATAGCATTACAAAGATGCCAAAATATACTGAAATGAAATCATCAAAATATTAAAGAAACAAATTTGTGATCTGGTAATATGTGGTCTTCATTATTAACACATTAAATAAGAAGACCTAATAATTGCCTTAATTTAGGTCTAATATTAATAATTACCTTAATTCAGAAATAGTGATAATTTTTTCAAATTGTGTTAGTCCGTTTTCACACTGCTGATAAAGACATACCGGAAACTAGGAAGAAAAAGAGGTTTAATTAGACTTACAGTTCCACATGGCTGGGGAAGCCTCAGAATCATGGCAGGAGGCAAAAGGCACTTCTTACATGGCAGCAGCAAGAGAAAATGAGAAAGAAGTAAAAGCGTAAACCCCTGATAAACCCATCAGATCTCATGAGACTTATTCACTATAATGAGAATAATGAGAATAGCACAGGAAAAACCAGCTTCCATTATTCAATTACCTCCCCCTGGGTCCTCCCACAACACTTGGGAATTCTAGGAGATACAATTCGAGTTGAGATTTGGGTGGGGACACAACCAAACCATATAAATATTTTAAGGTACCTGCAGCAACCAAAATATGATATGAAAATATTTGTGATTTATAATGGTGACAAAGTCACAGGCAAGGATGCTATTACTGTGGTTTGCTGATTACACTTATGATGGAAGGAAATTCTAAATTTCAACAGTAGGTTAGTGAAAATTAAAAATGTAAATTTTCCCCATTTAAGTTCATGGACCCCTGATTCTACCCATGAACCCTTAAAGGTCTAAGTCCCTGTTCTAGATGGTAGTACCTGGTTTCCCTATGAAAGTGTGGATGCTATGGAGTGGGGAGCTCTCAGGAGCAAGATTTCTAAGATATGGAGATACAGTTGAAGATATTTCATAAATTACTGTACAGTCTTCTGGAAAAGAAAATTGTTGATACACATGGTTGAAGTGTGGCATGGTCGTATTCTTGCTTATGCCCTCATCATCTGTTACCCATGGGTTATCCAGAGTGATTCTACCATTTGATGCTTTACTGAGTATATCACAAATACTTTGTATGTATTTCTTGGTGTTTTAAAAATGCTTGCTTCTCCAATGTTACTTTTAAGTAAGAATGTAAAAAAGGATTCCTTAAAAAAGTAGAAATCTAGCTCTTCAAAGGGAATAATTAAAGAGATGAAGTTAGATTCTTTCCATTGAACCTAATTGAAAGAACCCATTACACCTAGCCACTAACCAAAAAAATCTAGCTTTTGATCAGCATATTTTCCATTAAAAATGTTCAATGCTGGCAATATTTATTGTATACTGAAATTTTTGTGTTTGTGTGTGTATGTTTTTAATTTATTTAGCTCTGCCAGCTAAGCCTGAGAACATTTCCTGTGTCTACTACTATAGGAAAAATTTAACCTGCACTTGGAGTCCAGGAAAGGAAACCAGTTATACCCAGTACACAGCTAAGAGAACTTAGTAAGTACAGGAGCTTGTGTTTTATCGGTTGGGGCATGGGGGAGGCAGAGGCTCCTGATTCATTCATGATTCACATCCCAGATGAAGCAAAAAGTTTCCTCAGTGACAGCTTCTGGGTGATCTCTGTGTGCATCCAGTGGCTTGTGGATGGGATCT